ATATATTTCATATTATGTATTTTCTTAGTTGTAGTTGCATAATAAATTAGAGATTGTCCTAATTTATTTTGCTGCATAGTCTCAGCTATTTACTAAACAATTTGAAAAGCTGCCTCTAACAAGCAACTTGGCTTCTTCATCGACATGTGAACATGAAAAACATTAATTATAAAGTTTATGTAACCTATCGCACTTCAGTATAGCTATCAACAAGATAGCATCACAATGAAACCATTGCACTTTAGCGTGATCAAAAATGCACTTCAGCGTCAAACCATCGCACATCAGCGCAATCATTACGGTTCAGAGTCCTACATATATATATAGTTACTATCATTTAGTAAAGACAAAGTAGGATTTATGAATGAAGTTAATGTCGATGTACTTTCACACCTGTTATTCTAGTTACAACCTCAGGACACAGAATGTCACAAGTTACTGATTGACCGATTCAAGAAAATCTATTTTACCTCCACTTGATATAACTGACTGGACCACACAGTCCAATACTTTATGATAAGGCATCATGTCCAGTTGATTTTTACACCACACGTTACACATCTAGGGACATTGACCAACACACATTCTTTTTAGGCCAATGTTCATTGACTATTCTAACTTTATTAACTTCATTCATATGCAGTCTGCCTTTCAGCAATTGTACTTAATTGTAGAAAAGGATATTTTTCACTATCATCATTTGTTTGGCTGCAATATTTATTGGTTATTGCTTTAATAATTTGCACTGAAAAAGACCAGATAGTGGGTACTTGCTGCATGATCTCTGTATCACAGAAAGGAAGGTATATCATCATTTAATGAGCTTGTTTGTTGTTATTCTGAAATTCCATACAGAGCAAAGTAAAAGAAGAGGTCAGTGCTCTGTCCACATTTTGTTCTGTGGTTACTGACCTCAGAAACTGGACAGTCTGGTTAACATAGTTTTTCATCAACTGGCTACTGAACCCAGAAACAGGACTCCTGATTTAAGATAGGTTGTCACCATTTCATTTTTATTTAGTTGTTTCATACTGTCATTCATACCATATTTTGTTATGGTTTTTGTTTATGGAGTCTGTGATGTCAGGATAATCACCTGTGGACCTTTGGCTTTACTTGTTTGTTTATTTACCATCACTTATCATATGCATCATATTTTCATTTCATATTTTGTATCCAGTTACCATCCTGTCCGATTGCAATGGCCGGACAATGATCCAGAGTTGTTTGTTGGTTGAATAAAGGATAGAAGATTTCTAATCTTTCTAAATATAACAATATTTAGAAGAGAGGATTTTGTTTTATATGACTCAAAGAAAACCAAAGGCCAGTAACTTACTTCTAGGTTACAAATAGTTGAAAAAATGGAATATCTGTATGCAAAAAGGAAAACTTTGTTAATGCTTAAATCCACATCATGAACTCTGGTGGATAGTTGTCTAAATTGTCAATCATACCACATCTCCTTATTTTATGTTAATGGTAAAATTCATTGTAATAGTGTCTAACATTTCATATTAATGACTAAATTTTAATTAAAAGTTATATACATTTACATGTAACAAATAATACATAAATATGTAACAGCTTGTTTTATTTATATTATAAACTAAAAATAGGAGAAAGCAATAATAATGTTCTTCTTAATGAATTGTAACATACAAAAAACTAATCAGTTTATTATCATGATTGATAAGAAGGCAATTCTTATGGAAAATTAAGATCTTGATGTTTGGTACTATGTTAGTTCATGTTAAACTTTTCAAATTAACTTCAGTAATTTACTGAGCCTTGAATAAGATAAGATTTTACTTTTGATATTGACTCCAAAAGTTTTAAATTCCCTGACCTGACTGTTCCTGAATTATATGGAACTTGGGATAAATTTGATGCATGTATTTTTATCAAATCTCTTTTTTCTAACACTATTTGAAAAATGTATTTTAGAATATTTAAAATGTCTTTCATTGTGCAGTAAATCTGCACTGCCTACATATATCATTGTAAATCATTTGTTTATAAATGAAGGTATTACCTAAAATCAGGCATTTTATATAACATTGACAAGATAAAACTAATAAATTAAAAATAAATAGAAGATTTTAAGTAAGATAGCACTTGCCCTAAAATATATGGTGCAAATGTTATCAAAGTATGTGCTCATTATAGGTTGGGAATGTTTAGTCCTTTATGTTTAGCAAGGCAAGTATGGTAGAACGATTGTAAAAATTCCTGCTGTACTTGGTAAAGAAATAACATCTTTTTTGTTGAAAGTTATGTCATTATACAACCAAAAAACATGTTGACAAGAAGAAAAACAACAACATGCAGACATTTATTTCTTTGTACTTGTGAGGTCATATAGTCTTAAGATAATTTCAAATTAAAATAGAAATACACATTTATATTTCATGGTATTTTGTCCTTCTGCTCTGACTTTTGGACATGGACATTTTTCTTAAACCTTTGTTTGGTATAGTCCTTTTGAATTGTGTCATACAGATTTTTTGTCATATTACAATCATCAGGAAATGACTTGCCTTAAAGATGTGAATCTTCTTGAAGTCTTTTGCAGACAATAGTACTACGATCAAAATATTACTGCCATCATATGTCTTTGATCAGTGCGTATTGTTTATAATAGTACATGTTTTTCAAATTTTTGTGGCAGAAATTAAGGAATGTTCTTATGATTTGGATATTTATCATATGAGTTTATACCGGACAAAATCTTTGATAAAAACTATTTGGCACAATATTTTATAGAAACTCCTTGTTTACACTTGATTACCAGGCACTGACACTGCACTTATAACTAGAATGTACCTTAGTTTACCAGGCACTGACACTGCACTTTTAACTAGAATGTACCTTAGTTTACCAGGTACTGACACTGCACTTATACTAGAATGTACCTTAATTCACCTAATGTCATAGGAAAATTTTGGACATTCTGCTTGCAAAATGGTAGCATTAAGTGCACTAAGGTTAATTGTGTGTGGTTTACGTAAGTTCACAATGGGCAATGATATTCTGTCATTAACCTCTTTGAAAAATGATGCAAAGCACTTGACTGGTTGTTTTTTTTAGGAATAAAGAATGGATGGCTTTTCAAGCTTCTGAACATTGTAACACCTCATTTAGGATAGTTTTATATTGTAGACGTAGTTTGACGTCATGTAAGCGGTTAGTTAACATGTTTTACATATCCATTGTGTTTGATTGCTTTACCAAAGTAATTAGCCACCAGAGGGGGTAAATTATGTTTATTATGAACACTTCAGCCAGTCCTTTCATGTTTATAGACCTTCCCTTAGAGATGAATGATTGAGATGTTATACATCAATATAGCCAGCATTTTATTTTTCTGTGTTCATTTATCAAATGAAAAAAAAAATATAGAAATCAACTAATTTTTATACCAAGAAATTACATAATTTGTTTGTGAATGTATTTCATGAATTTATTAGGTTTAAGTCAGCTGTGCAGGTGATTTGTTTTTCAATGTAAACAGTTCATTGTCCTTTATGCCAGACATCATGTGAAGCATACTTGGTTAAGTCATAAAAACATAATTGTTTGGTGCTTCTGTATCATACTATTCAGTGAAGATTGCAATAATGAGGACCAAAACTTCTTCATTCTGTGAGAACCTTGAATGAACATTGAGGAATGTTTGGACTGGATCTGTGCTTGTGGTACTTGAGTGAAATCAGGAACAAGTATCGTGTTTTGTACATGCTTATAGTACCACTCTTACTAAAATGGCTACAATTTTGAATACTAGAGTATTCTTTATCCCAGTTTAAGTAGCTGACAAGATTTTTTATCCAAGTTCAAGCAATTTATAATATTCTCATTCAAAATTTTAGCGTTTTTATTGAACTATGATTCATCAATTGACACAAGATGATACATTACACTTATACCATACTGATACTTTATGATTGGCCAGGAATTGTAGTTTTTCTTATTAATTGTCATTTGTAGTGGCTGTTATAATTACATGTCTTTACAGAATTTGCATGGTCATCGATGTTCCCTTTGAAGTAAGATGTAGGTATGCACTGTAATTAACAGCAGATAGACTGCTACATCATGGTTGTATTGCATTCTCAATATAGGATGATATTGGAAGATTGTAGTTAATTTGTACTTTTGACTTGTTTTACTATGCAATGTGACAATTTTAAAACAGACAAGAAAGCCATCAGTATAGCTGGGAATACAATACGGTTATATCATAACGATGATGATGACTTGTCACGGATTATTGAGATTTAAAGTTTTACAGATCTTGTGTGATCCTGGTAAATCTATTAACCCACCTAGCATAAAGAATTGTAACCTAATTTCCATCATTAATGGGTTAATTACGTGTCTTCTCTGATCCATGATCCAACTCTGTTTGAGATGGTGTCTTTGATTTCATGTTTTTGTTGCTTTAACTGAAACAGTTGGCTTGTAGTCAGTGAATAGTTTGTACTATTTTTTTGTCCCATGACAGTTTCCCTGGTTTTTTTTCTTGGCAGAACTTGTATTTTTAGTGGTATGCTCCTGGAAGCTTTTTCTCAGGCTTATTTCTGGTAAAACATTCAAGTTGCAAAGTTCATTCATGGAATTTTGTCATTCTTGAATCATGAAGCTATGAAATTCTTATGCCAGCAGTCTATTTTTTTTATTTATTTAAGTTATTAGTACTGATACTTTCCATATTATACTGTCATTATTTGTCAACAAAAAATATATTGTTCATAGATCCTTAATATAGCAATGCAGCATACACTTAATTTTTAATGAAATATTTTTGAGCATATGAACCAAAATTTTATTAGAATGATATTGTTATTTCAATGATTGTATTGAATAATGGTTCAGAGCCTATTAAGGAGTTTTATAATGTTGATCATTATTACACATTTGAATTGTTTTATCATTAATGGAGTTCTTCCAATGATTGTAGAGTAACTATAACAATATTCTGTTTTTGTATTTTTCAGACAAGATATTTGTCGGGCGCCAAAAAAATGTGATACTTTAGGTAAGTGTTGAACTATTGCTTAAGTGTTCAGTCAGGAGTGTGTACTAATTGATCCTTTTTATATGAAATGGAGTATATCTTCAGAATCAATGTTAAATAATGCTCACTCATAATACTGGTATATGATATAACATCAATAGAAAAATAACAATTCATCGTCTATGAAAAACCAGGATAAGTAACTATAAATATAAACATACAATAGGATATCCAAAAATATCATTTATTAACCCTTGCAAAGTATTCTGAGATGTGCTCTCAAGGATTGTCTAAGAAGTGTTGATGCCCGTATTATCTATTAAAATGTATATATATCCTTATTACATGAAGAAATACACATCAATGTATTGTAAGACATTAGCTATATGTTGTTTTCAAGGATGATAGAAATAAAACTTTTGGAAGATGCATGAAAATTCTAAACAGAATTTTTTTTCTCATTTTCTATTGATTAAAATATTGGAATAAAGCAAGTCAAAGACACTGTCAGATTTGCAATCAAAGACACTTGACAGATTTGCAGTCAAAGACACTGTCAGATTTGCAATCAAAGACACTGTCAGATTTGCAATCAAAGTATCATGTAGGCTATAATCTTGATGAATATTGTAATGATTTAGAATATTTTACTGCCAAGCTTGCCAGTCCTATAGGTATTCTATAAGAACAATATTCACCAATACTTGTGCAATGACCTTTTATTGTAGGACAAAACTATTGACAATATTGAACTACCAGGAGATAATGCATAATAGTTTTTGGTTGCATTCTGCAAGAAATATCATGTTGCTATATTATAATATCTATTACTATGACTACAGTCATATTGGTATCCATGTGATCTTGTCAGCCATACATCTACCATGTCTACCCCATACCCAGTTTTTCTCACTGATACAAACAGATGTTTCTGTAGACCAGAATGACCTTCCTTTATCACTTAATCCACACTATAAAATCAAATACTGTTCAATCATACAAGTTACTAACATGCAGGTGTGACCAACATCAAATGGTTGTCCACTTTTATTGTGATCTATACCCTGATGTAAACATCATCAATGTCCAATTGTTATAATCCAATCGTCCAGTTAACAAGGTCCAGTGTCTGACTACTATTGTCCAGTTAGGATGGATCGGTAATTGATTTAAGATGTGATTTTATGATTGATTGCATCTCCATCTGTACATCTTTTTTAATCTGAAAAGTTCTCAACTGTAGCCTTATTCATCCATAGAAGTTTCAAAAACCTAAAAGAAAATTGGATTTTTTATATAGATATATTAATTGTTTTTATCCTCATTTGAAATTTGAATATGGTTTACTGAAAATTATCAATTACAAAAGTTTGTTCAAAACGTGTCATAGGTTTTACTGTATAAATTACATCTGTATAACAACTTATGTAATGAACCCTAATATACCTGTCACTCACATATGGCAAAGTTACTGATTTGTAATTGTTTGATGATTTTTTTGGTTTTTGTTTTGAAGTTTTTTTTGTCCTATAACATGATAAACTTAGCATATTCATTCAGACAGTTTACACAATTACTAAAGATTATGGGTTGACTTATTTAGTGAAAATATAAATGATATACATCGAAACATTTAAAATTTTTAATTTATGCACTATTTTTAATATAAAAAAATACATGAAATATTTCATTCATGCTTATGCTTTCAATAGCCAATGAGAAAAACTTCAGTATATTTTAAAAGCCAGAAAAATTTATTTATTATGACCCAATATAAAAATTTTATGCGGTGGGTCTTATTCTAGTTTTGTATCATTCACAAAATTTTAATGATTCAACTCTTCAGTTGAGATTTTGCATAGTTTTTATTGTAAAGGTATATTATATATTTTGAGGTCTGGCTATTAACCTCTAGGCTATTGAAGATCTTTGTGCTGAATAAAATTTTATTTCAATTTGACAAAAGCAGTTAAATAATCTTTAAAAGTTTAACCATTTTAATGAAAACCGAGAAACTATGAAAGATATTATTTGAAAACTGAGAAAGTACAAGTTATGAGTTTAGAGATTAAAATTTCATAAAATGATCATATGACAAGACTAATTATGGCCTGTGAAGAGATTATAGCGACAAAGAAGATAAAGAAGCAATAAAGATAATGTCTTGTAGCGACCATAATGATCACACAGTGGGACTCATCCCTGTAATTGTTACCCTTATAGTCACAAAGATCTGCTCTCTGCTGAAATGACAACTTTTTGGCAAGTAAAAATGGCAATATAATGGACATGAAACAATGCTGAAGGAATTACTTAAATAAGTTTAAACTAAATTGCATGGTTTGAATTTCAATCATTTAAAAGCATAAATAGTTTTTCTGTCAGTTTGACATACAGGTTAACTGTAAGTATTTTTGTATTAATGTCATTGAGATTGATCTGATGCTTTATGTAGGGAGAGTGCCATGCTCACGGTATGTTGAAAAATCCTTGCAAAACCATTAAGGGTTCTGATGGTCTGCTGCAAGGCAAACATTATTTGTTATTTTATGATTGTCCTTTGAATCTTAACAAGAAAACTATAAACCCTGTGAGCTTGACCTCTGTGTCTATCAGGAAAGTTATAGACACTGTAAGCTTGACCTTTGTGTCTAACAGGGAAGCTGTAGACCCTGTGAGCTTGACCTCTGTGTCTAACAGGAAAGTTATAGACACTGTAAGCTTGACCTTTGTGTGTCTAACAGGGAAGCTGTAGACCCTGTGAGCTTGACCTCTGTGTCTAACAGGGAAGTTATAGACACTGTAAGCTTGACCTTTGTGTCTAACAGGGAGGTTGTAGACACTGTGATCTTGACTTATTTATCTTACAGGGAAGTTGTAGACACTGAGCTTGACTGGTTAGTCTAACAGGGAATGCTAGTAGACACTGTAAGCTTGACCTCTGTTTCTAACAGGGAAGTTGCAGACAATATGAGCTTGACCTCTGTGTCTAACAGGGAAGTTGTAGACAATGTGAGCTTGACCTCTGTGTCTAACAGGGAAGTTGTAGACAATGTGAGCTTGACCTCTGTGTCTAACAGGGAAGTTGTAGACAATGAGAGCTTGACCTCTGTGTCTAACAGGTAGTTGTAAATAATGTGACTTTGACATCTGTCTAACAAAGAAGTTGTAGACAATATAAGCTTGTCCTCTGTGTCTAACAGTGAATCTGTAGACACTGTGACTTTGACCTCTGTGTCTAATTGAGAAAGTGTAGACACTCTGACCTTGATCTCTGCGACTAACAGGGAGGTTGTAGACAATCTGAGCTTGACCTCCGTGTCTAACAGGAATGTTGTAGACAATATGAGCTTGCCCTGTGTCTAACAGGGAAGCTATAGAAAAGTGACCTTGACCTCTGTGTCTAACAGGAAAGTTGTAGACAATGTGAGCTTGGCCTCTGTGTCTAACAGGGAAGTTGTAGACAATGGGAGCTTGACCTCTGTGTTTATTGAGAAGTTGTAGACAATGTGAGCTTGACCTCTGTGTCTAACATGGAGGTTGTAGAAAATGTTAATACGTTTAAACCCCCTGCATTTGTTTGCACCTGTCCTAAGTCAGGAACCCTGATGTTCAGTGGTTGTCGTTTGTTGATGTGGTGCATAAGTGTTTCTTGTTTCTCGTTTTTTATATAGATTAGACTGTTGGTTTTTCAGGTTTGAATGGTTTTACACTAGTCATTTTTGGGGCCCTTTATAGCTTGCTGTTCGGTGTGAGCCAAGGCTCCGTGTTGAAGGCCGTACTTTGACCTATAATTGTTTACTTTTACAAATTGTGACTTGGATGGAGAGTTGTCTCATTGGCACTCATACCACATCTTCTTATATCTATTGACCTCTGTGTCTAACAGGAATGTTGTTGACAATGTGAACTTGGCCTGTGTCTAACAGGGAAGCTATAGAAAATGTGACCTTGACCTCTGTCTAACAGTGAAGCTATAGAAAATGTGACCTTGACCTCTGTGTCTAACAGTGAAGCTATAGAAAATGTGACCTTGACCTCTGTGTCTAACAGGAATGTTGTTGACAATGTGAACTTGGCCTGTGTCTAACAGTGAAGCTATAGAAAATGTGACCTTGACCTCTGTGTCTAACAGGAAAGTTGTAGACAATGTGAGCTTGACCTCTGTGTCTAACAGGGAATTTGTAATGTGACATTGGCATCTGTGTTTAACAGGGAAGCTATAAGACTATGGGTTTGTCTTCTGTATCTTATTAGCTGTTTTTTTTAAATTAAAGCTGTTTTTTTTAAATTAAATCTTGATTCTCTTTCACTGTCTTTTATTATACTGATACTAGAAAGGATGTCCAAGACTTGTGTGTTAATTGGTACAATAACTTAATGAAATATAATGTGTTACATCTTCCCCTTTGGCAAAGAAAAATGCTCATTTATTTCACACCTCCATATTTGATAAAGTTTATTAGACTAATTTCCAATTAATTAACAGATATTTGTACTTTTTACACTACCTTAAGATGTATTTGACTCATTAATTTAATTGCACAGACAAAAAGTTCCTTTTTTTTTTAGTAAGAACTATTTTGCTTTTGGGCAGGCATTTTTATATTCATTTACATTTTATTCTTTATGCATACTTATTTCTCAAACCTTATTTTATTTGTACATTAACTTGTTTTTTAGAGGTATTTCATAGTGATGTTTTTACCTTTGCTTAAATTTATCTATGTTTTTTTCTGAAACAGGATAAACTATTGCAAAGTCAAGAAATTTGGCACGATATTTGTTGTTATGAAAATAAGAAATATAGCAAAGTATGCTCATGAATCATTAAGATACCTTGTAAAAAGTCTTTTCAAAACAAAATGTGTTTTTAACATGACTTTCTGTTGACAGGTTTAGCAGAAGTAGGGACCATGTGTGACCCGCTAAAAAGTTGTTCCATTATAGAAGATAATGGAATTAGTTCAGCTTATACTATTGCTCATGAATTAGGCCATGTGTAAGTACCTATTTTACATGTTATTCTTCTTAGTTCCTCTATAGTACCCATCTTGTATTGTAGAAAAAAAATGCATGTTAACAACCACTCCTCCGTGACAGAACCAGTTACTATGGATTAAGGTAGACTTTTATTTTATTTACCTTTGTTTATAAAGTACTTTTAAGATGCAGATTGTTTAATAAGATCAGAAAGGTCAAATGTACTTTACCTAAGAGTTGATTATTTTTGTGTTAAATTGCATAATTTGCACCTCATTAAAAGTACAAATTAATTATAAAATATTTAATTAATACTATATGAGTTGTTAAATTATCTAGCTTATGCTATGTTTGATAATAGAAAACAACGATTATATAAATAGATATAATTAGACAAACAAGTTAAATGGTATTGTTCTGTCAGTATTACTAAAGGAACTTCTTTGATACAGATCAGTATTATGAACTCAAGATCAGGAAGCAAAAATACTTAGAAAAATGTGTATGTATAAGTTTATTTGGTGGTCATAAAACTTACATATAATCTGTTCAACAGTTAGGTAACATTTTAAACAAATTACCCATAAATTTCTTCTTCAAATGCAGGAAATATTTGGCCTATGGACTTTATAAAATAACTGAAATCCACCAATAAATCATAATTTGATGTCAAAATGTTTTATACTGCTTATTTCTATGTATCTTGTGCCTGTACTATGTTTATCAACTTTTGAGGTCATAATGCTTAGAAAAGGCAAAACTAGGTCTTGCAAAAAGCCTTGAACTCTATGAATGAAGACATAGCTCAGGACATACTTTAATTTTTGAGTTAAGACGAATTATCAATTAAAGGCTGAAAAAAATAGTATTGTTTTGAAAAAAAGCAAACTTGATCATAGGACCTGAAACAAACCAAAAATGCACAAAAATTGAAAGAGTTGAAACTTTATAGGGAACAAGGTAAAATTGATGTAGGGACCTTGGTAGGAGGTGGTTTCACTATTCCCTTTTATTGTATCTCATTGGTTTGGCTTTGTATTGCTTTGATAGAAAACAGTGATCAAATAAGTTCAGGTATTAGTTGTATGAAATGTCATATTTTGATAAATATTACTCCTTTATCAAAGGCTTTGACAACAGATAGGTCGAAATACTTAAGTCCTGTAATAACCTTATGTCTTAAATCTCAAATTATAAGTTTGAAATAATGAAAAATAATATGTTATTCACAATTGATTCAAAATTGTATTTTGATATTCCTTGAGGGTTTTACCTGATACCATGAGGGTCATTTGTTAAAAACTCATTGGGTAAATTGTAGTAATTTCTTTGTTTAAATTTGTCCCTTCCTCTCAAAGTGTGCAGCATAAATTGCTATGTTAGGGTGATCATAAGACAGCTGTCATTTTGAACAAAGACCAATATACAAGAAAAATCTCTTGGAGAGGTCATGTCACTTTGTAACTTTACAGGGGGCAAGCCACATCAATTTTAAGAAGCAATCTTTTTTTAATATAAGAAAACAGTGTCTTTAGATATTAAAAAAGCATCATATTTCTCAATAAGGAAAGCAAAATGAAAATTTAAAGTAATTTTACATAGGGAGTAAAGAATCTCCAAATTTAAAAAAAAGTTTATCTTTTTATTCATATTTGATAGTTACAGGGTCTGTTAAGCTCAGAAATTAGATAATTGAAAGTTGTATCTTTTACTGTGAATATGATTTTTTTTCATTTATTGATTTATACCTATTGTATTTGCATGGACTTCTGAGTTGCAAATTTATTTTTATTAGTTGACCTGATGCCCATTCCTTCTATAAGAGGTTGGTTAACCTATCTTTAAAATGACTCAGCTAGTGAAGGACTCAACCTTTATCAAGATAGGATATAAACAGATTGCTTGGTCATAAATTAATTTTCTGATGAGAAAAAGATAGATATGATGCCAAAATTGTAAATAATTAAAAATTACTGAACAAAATGCCTCAAATAAGGATAATTATTTTATTTGTGACAGTTTCTTCATACTTTACATAGTTCCAGGTGTTTGCCACTTTGTTAATTAATGTTTTGCACCTTTAATTGACAGTTCTTTTTATTGTCAAATTGTTGTTAAAGCCCTATCATACATATCTAATATCTTTTTGTGGTTACTGATTATGCTTTATTTGTACCAATACTGTAATATGACATATTCTATTGTCTTAAAACAAATGATCCTTGTATTATAACAGGTGTGATAGTCAAAGGGGAACTGATCCAAAACAATACCGGCTTCATATTCACATATATTTCTGTGCCAATATTTTCTAAGTTAAAATCAATTAAATATTTCATTGAAATATGTAAGAAAAAAGGTCTTAGAGGTGTAAATGTATTGGACTTTTTTTAGAAGTGTGTCGCGTGCCATGCTTTGGAAACATACCAGAAATAATTCAAAGGCTAATAAGTAAAGGTGTACTTTTAGGTCAATTTTGCTACTCATTAATTTAAAAGGGTTTTTTTTATTACACAACACTGTCATGGTAAATATAGTTCTGTGTATGCTATACATTCTGTTTTGTTTATCTCCATGAATTTCTAAAAATTGTCAAATAAGTTGAAGGAAAGGCATCATAAAACCTGGTTTACAAACTACTCAACTGTGGATGGGGAAATAAGTAAAAGGTTTGCATCATAAAACCTGGTTTACAAACCATCTAACTGTGTGGAGGTTGGGCATCATAAACCTGGTTTACAAACCACCCAACTGTAGGGACATAAGTCATATGTTAGGAATCGTAAAACCTGGTTTACAAACAACTGAACTGTGGAGATATAAAATATAGGTTTGTTATCATAAAACCTGGTTTGTAAACCAACCAACTGTGGGGATATAAGTTAGAGTTATGCCTCATAAAACCTCGTTTATAAACCATCCAACTGTCGAAATATAAGTTAGAGGTTAGGCATCATAAAACCTGGTTTATAAACCATCCAACTTACCTGTTTGTATAAAAGTTAGCAATTTGACATGGCAAAGCCTGGTGGTTTAACACACCACCTAATTGTAGGGATATTAGTTAAAGGTTTTGCATAATAAAACTTTGTTTGACACACCACTTAACTTTACCAAATAAATGGTTACTTTGACCTATAATTGTTTACTTTTTATATATTGTGACTTGGATGGAAAGTTGTCTCATTGGCACTCATACCACATCTTCTTATTTCTATTTACCAGTTTAATAACTTTTATTTTCCATCAGTTGTTTTTGATAACCATTTTGGCTTTTTGACCTCTGATACTACCTTTTAAAGTTTTGCTTTTTCCTATTCTTATTGTGAACATTGTAAAAGTGATTAAAGGAATTGTATATCTTTTACAAAGGAAATGAAAAAAAACCCTCTTTAAATTCCCTTTCTCCTCTTTGTGCTATGGTACCATACAGGAATGTAATTGAAAAATGAGATATAATTATCTTATTGGGAATAGCTTAGAAATGCTCATAGAAGTATTGTAATGCAAGAGACAGGTCTACTGTGAAAGAAAAGTCTCAATTTAAAAAAAAAAAAATTCCTGACTGGATGATACTTTAACTATGACAATTCCGTATTTTGATACATTTTGATATCTTATCCCCATTCTGTTTTGACAATTTTCATTACTTTAAGATCAATATATTCTCCATAGACTATAATATTTGAGAAGTCTCTGAAATTATTGATAAATGCTCAACGTTATATACAACCATTCCTATGTCTAAACAATAGGACAAATTTGGGGGTAGAAAAATAGTACAGTTCTTTAAACATTTTAAAAGGGAATTGATCTTTTCATAAAATGTTGAATATTTTGTTGTTTAAACATTTTAAAGAGGAATTCATCTTTTCTTAAAATGTTGAATATTTCGTTCTTTTAACATTTTAAAGAGGAATTCATCTTTTCTTAAAATGTTGAATATTTTGTTCTTTTAATATTTGAAAGGGGAATTCATCTTTTCTTAAAATGTTGAATATTTTATGACTGATAAGGAAAGTTAATATTTGTTTGAAGTAAGGGTGATAATAATTTAATATTGACTCTAGCTATTTACTTTATTACATAATACACAATTTTATCAATCAGTTCTGAGTGTTATTTAAAAATAAGAGGCTAATTGAATATGTTACACAGGAGAAATCTCTAGGGCCAATAAATCATAAATCACCTGGTCCGCCATATTATTCTATAAAACATTAGTAAAGTCCAATGTTATAATGTTAATTGATATTGAGGTAACTAAAGTGTTATAATTGACAACTTGTGTTGACATGCTGTAAGATGCTCTTATTCAGTCATCTTAATGTGAACAGATTGGACATTTAGATGACAAATTCTATATCATTCATATATACTTAGTATGTAAATAAATAACCATGAAATAATCTTTTACTAATTGTTGTATTTAATGGTATTGGAAGTTGTGAGGTTTGCTGGTGAACTTCCAGGTAGCCAGGTATCTACAAATAGATATAAGAAGATGTGGTATGAGTGCCAATGAGACAACTCTCCATCCAAGTCAAAATTTATAAAAGTAAACCATTATAGGTCACAGTACGGTCTTCAACACGGAGCCTTGGCTCACACCGAACAGTAAGCTATAAAGGGCCCCAAAAAATTACTAGTGTAAAACCATTCAAACGGTAAAACCAACGGTCTAATCTATATAAAAAAAACGAGAAACGAGAAACACTTATGAACCACACCAACAAACGACAACTACTGAACATCAGATTCCTGACTTAGGATAAGGTGCAAACAAATGCAGCGGGTTTAAACGTTTTAATGGTACCAAACCTTCACCCTTTTTCTGAAACAATAGTGTAACATCACAACATACACATTTTGATTATTCACTGCAGCCATTTGCAAACATTTCCTTTGTCCCCAATTATCAAGACTGACATGAATCTGTGCAGACATGAATCTGTGCAGACATGTAGGAAAGTTCATTGAAAAAATTCTACAAGCTAAAATTGAGCTATAGAATACAGTATATGTATACAGCAAAGCGGAGACCATATTTCGACTTTTTGAGGTTTAGGACATTCTGAGTATTAATTCAATAGTAAAGGATGAAGACTATTTGAAGACCTCTAAATAAAAGATAGCAAGATGTGATATGATTTCCAATAAGACAACTATCCAACAGAGTCCATATGATGTAGATTTAGGCAACTATAGGTCACTGTACGGCCTTCTACATTGAGCAAAACCCACAATGTATAGTCAGCTATTAAGGGCCCAATGTTTACTTTTGGAATCTGTTTTTAGTTTTATGTTACGTTCTGATCTTCAAGCACTGATTATTTTATGGTGATTATTTTGCCAAAGTCACAGAAAACACATTTCGTATCTTCTATACATGTTTTTAAAGCCATGTCCTTTTCTGAAATGAAGGCTGAATGAGAAAATATATAAAGAATCCACCTAGTTAATAGTATGTCTTGGATTGTTGACCTTCTCACACAAATGTCCAAGTATATGTCAGTCTAAAACAAATAAACATTCCCATAATAGGTCATAGTTTTATGATGGCAAATGTTTACCAATACTGTTATTGTACTCCAGATACTGAAACAGCTGGTCCTGAAATGTCCCAAATTACATGGGTGTATCCAAAATCAGCTAGTATTAGTTATACTATTATGGTTTACTGTCACCCTGTCATTTTGGAGTCAGTCTTTTAGGTGTAAAGAAAACACATACATGACAAATTTTCAAGGCTGGTGATTGATTGTTTAGTTTTCATTTCATTGTAAATTTACAAATTTTGTTGACAGATATTTGACAAAGTTTCAGAGTGAACTGGTGAGCCAGTGCAGTTGTAAATGATATAGGACTGTCATTTTAACTTAGTCTCTCCATGTTTGTCTAAATTTACCTTTAATAGCTAGTTCATCAGGAAGTTTGTAAGAACTATTTCCTTCTCAGATCCACAACTGCATTGGAAAAATAAAAAGCTGATTCAGCTATAATTGAAAAACAAGTAGGGAGTTGTACAATTTGATTACATGTTCAATTTAATTATAGTTTCCTCTCACCTCTGTCAAATTTTATCAGATGTGCATTCTGGTATCTTTTATCAAAGATTTGATTATATAACCACCTGCCAGAAATGATATTCCTTCAAAGTCATACATGCTGTAAATTTCTTATATCTACAATATCTATTAACATTAAGGAACTATTTCCTTCATTTCTATATAGTGCAATGTGGTTATTATTGCATCAGGAATAGACAATTTTAGGTTAGAATATCAGAAAAAATTACATTAGTGTTCTATAAAAAACCTGTTTTGGGTCACCTCTGTGTATTGATGGTGATTTACCTGTGATTGTCAGGTAGATTGTTTGTAATTATGTAATCAGAGGATTTATCAATTCATCTCTTGTTATAACCACACAACCCCTTTAAATATTGTGGTTTCTTTGATTTATATGCCAATGTTTTGATACATGTCTTATATTTTCTACTTCAATGTGGTTAAGTTAGTCATCCCTCCTTATAAAGAGTGCAGACTATTTTCACATCTTTTTCAGAGGTTAGGGAGTAAAATTATATTGAATATGATTCACAATGATTGAAAGTCAGTGATGATAATGTGGTTTCACATTTTGCTGTTAGTCCTGTACACAGTTTAGCTACTGCCCAATCTTAAAGCATTATGTACTGGCTTTTATGTAAGACATCAGTGTGCTTTATCTTTTAATGACAGCATTTTTTTTTAATTCTAGCTTTCCCCCATCCTACATAAATCTGCTAAATATCTTTCCCTCCATCCTACACAAATCTGCTAAATTTCTTCTCAACCTTCCTACATTAATCTTCTAAATATTTTTTTAAGCTGTTTTAAGTTGTTAGTTTGTTAAATTCAAAACTTTGATTTGTTATTTTTTCAGATTTAATTTACCTCATGACGACCAACCTCGATGTCTAAAATTCAACAAAGGAGATACTAGGAATAACGTGATGGCACCAACACTTGACCATAACATAAGTCCTTGGTCGTGGTCTCGATGCAGTGCACTTCTACTTACAAAATTTATTGAGTATGATTCTAGCATTCTTTAAATAGTATAAATATCTAAAATAATTGAAAAACTCTGCATTCTTGAAAATATATTCAACCTTATATTAGAAAGATGATTTTCATTATTATGCATTCATGATTACTGCTTCAAGTAAAGCTCTAACTTTTATGCAACATAAAACAAAAAACAATAAAACTTATTACAAAAAAATAAAGTTATTTTGATACAATTAGACTCTGGGGAATAATTGTTGATTTTCTAAAAAAATAGTGTGTAGGGGAGGGGGGTTACCAGATTTAAATCTAGAAATGATACATGAGGCTTAACAATACCACATGTTAATTCCTTATACAATTTGACCTGAAATATTGTCTTTTTGTCTCAAAACAAAAGGAGTGCTTCAATTTTTAGGGAATATGAACTCTTAAGCTGAACCTTAAGAAGTGAATACAATAGAAAAATGAATGAAATTATCAAACCTTTAAAATGATAGTCATGTTTACTTCTGTTTGGTATGAAAAAACATTTTTTCTATAAATTTGGCCCTAAAGTAAAGGGCAGGGACTTATATGAGAATGAATGTTGTACATTTACATCTGTCCTACATCTTGTCTTAGATTCTTGATTAAGGAGTAAAAAGCTTGTACCCAATGGAAAGTTATAAATCTTCCGTAGTTTAGGTATCAATGGTATTGGTTTAAATGACAATATTTGATTATTTTAAACAGTGGCACTCTGTTTGTGTTTAGAAGAACTCCAATAAGAATATCAATGGTGACATCAACTATAATCAGCTTCTTTAATCTAGCCTGCCAAGATAAACTTGACTGGCCTGTAGTAGTATTGCAGCCTTCACCCTCTTTATATTGTCTCTATTCTACATTTCAACCATGTTTTAAGTAATAATGACTATCCTCTGTATTCATTCTTTGGTGCAGTGCAGGTTTCACAGAGTGTTTGTTAGACAAGCCAACAGAAACAAAATATATACAACCAAAACACCATGGAGAACAAGTACAAAGATATTACGATGTCAACAGACAATGTCAACTGTCTTTTGGAAAAGATTATGCTATCTGTCCATTCATGGTAAGATAACTGTAATGTCATAAATTATTTCTTTAGTTTGAATTGATAAATGCATTGAATTAAGAATTAAAATAATGTTACAATGGTTAAAGTCATGTATAACTTCAGAATAGGTTGAGATTCTTTGTGTCATAATATATTACACACAAAACAGAAAATAGAAAAGGTTATGTTGAAAAGAAAATTGCTGAAAAATGTACAGTTGTATTTTGCTGTAAATGCATGTGCATTCAGTGGCTTGTTGCCCTATGAATCAAGGATCTAATTTCCTTTAAAAGCATTATAGTAGAAGAGATGATCTATGTTTTAGGCAGATGATTGTGGAAAGCTATGGTGTACAGATTTAAAGGACACATATAAGAAATGTAGGACGTTGCACATGCCATGGGCAGACGGAACTGACTGTGGATCTAACAGGGTATGTTACTCAACAAAAAATCGAACTTCTCATTTGCATACAATCTTTTTCCACATCTACAGTTTCAGCAATCAGAACCAATACTCAACAAAAAATAGAACTTCTCATTTGTATACAATCTTTTTCCACATCTACAGTTTCAGCAATCAGAACCAATACTAGAATAACACTGTTATCATGGCTTCCCTGACATTGTGAACAATGTGAAAACTCTTTGTTACACCACTCAGCATATGTTGCTTAGTTTACTTTGGTGTCTCAAGAAATGTTAAATTTTGATTACCTTTACTTATAATTCAGCCAGTATCAATCATTAGTACACTTATTTTTAAAGCTTCCAATTTTTTAGAAATACTACATATAAATGTAACACTTTCCTTCTGGCTGGCACCTCTGGAAAATGAGACATTGTTGAACTATTTGAATGATTAGGCAAATTGGTTGCAGATTATATGATTAGAATTTAATGATCTCTTCTTTGATTAAAAATAGCATGATTTCAGAAAGTTTTTTGTCAGACATGTATACTTGAAGAATAGGATCATTGTAAAAACTTTTGCTCATCTGGCACAAATACTTTATAGTGCTTGTCACTGTTTATTAAGTAGTTACGTAACTGTGTTACTAGGATAAATGGTATAATTTGGAAAATTTTCCAATTTGCAATTTTGATTTATTGGTTTTCAAATCGTTATGACTTTTTACATGCAGATATTTTTATCTTGCACATGTTTTATTGTGGAACCCAGCCTATATTTTAAGAGACTGTCAAATTGATACACAGAGGATTTTCATAATTTACACAGAATGTCTGATATTATTTTATTGACTGGATGTCAGCTGTTCTCCAGTGCATATTCTGAATATTTATTATATAAACTGATTTAGGAGATTGTCTTGCTGATACTTTCAAGATTTTCATAATTTGCCTAAAATATGTGATTATATATTTGTTCAAAGATTATTTTTTGTAATTATGTGCAGTAAAAGTCAATAAATTTTGTGTTTATTTTTTTTTTATCTTATTTAAATATCCAAAATCTTCAAAATATATCTTGTAATTTGTCATTATTTAACTAATAAAAAGAAGACTAATAGTTCCTCCCAAACATCACCACCTGGTAAAAGTAGTGGATAGTGATAATAATGTTGTATACTTGTCATTTGGTCGGAAGTTTTAGTTTTAATTGTAAACCAGTTAGTCTCATACTTTTGATAAAATGTAAAAAAAATTAAGAATGAAATAGCATCTGCATAATTTTACAACTCTTTTAAGAAATGCACTTTCTCCATATTTTCCAAGGTTTTAAAGAGGTTGAAATGATATTATGTTTCATTTGATTAAATTATTTGTATTACTACTCACACTGACATCATAATGTGGTTAAAGTAGATATTTAACGGTTATTTTATTAGTTCTGGGTTACATAATATGTTGAAGAGTTACATTTATTGTTCATATGATGAATTTACATGATATATTTTTGCATTAGAATCAAATTTATCCTTTAGATAATGATATGGTGATCTAAAGACATAATAGTTTATTCTAAGATTGTTATGACATAATTCAGTCAAATTATCCACTTTGTGCAGTCATCTTGAAAACCATGGAATATTTAATAATGTTAATTATAATATTAAATTCATATTATTTTAATGCTTGCAAAGACATTTATTGGGTAATTACAGCTTCATTGTTAGATGTAGCTCTTTGAAGAAATGACATAATATCAAATTCAGCAGGAAAATCTAGCATTTTGGTAAAAGTCAAAAATTGAGTCAAGGTATTTGCATCTTTATGACATATTTTCTTGAAATCTAATAGGTATTTCTAATGATTGAAATGAAAATATGTAGTGAAGACTACACTGATAGAAATAAGTTAATGCATCCAAATCTACACCAAAGCAAGTTCTTTCTGAAATTAAGTTGCTCTAAAAATATTTTGTCCTATAAATTCTGAAACAATTTTTGTCCTTCAGATGAATTACCATGTGTCCATCATCCCTATAAGAGGTTTTTCATTGTAGTTTCTCTGACATAACTTTTATCTGTATGTGATGTACTTTCCCTTTCATAGTTGCTAAGGCCTTCAATGAACATAACTGAATAGAAAATATGTATTTTACAGTGGTGCTGGCATGGTGAATGCAGATTCAAAAAGAACTATAAACCTATAGATGGGGGTTGGGGAAAGTGGGAGGAGTATGGTGATTGTTCAAGGTTGTGTGGAGGAGGCATTAAAACCTCTATCAGAAAATGTAGCAGTCCAAGGTAAAGTCCAAATCATATTGAATTTACACTGTTCCAAATATATCTGGGAAAAACCACCTTTTTCGTGTGTCAAGATAAATGACAACCGACATAAAATCCTTTATCCTCAATTTTGGAATCTTGAATAGCTTCTTTCAGCTTGTAGAAATAGCTTCTAATAAGCATTATTTTCTGTATTTTTTTCTCAGTAAATTATCCAGTGGAATAAGGTATTTTCAGCAATATTTTTTAATTCCATTTCCATCTTTCTCAAAAAATAAAAATTATTGAAACTAAGTAAAATCATATGTAAATGTTTTTTTCAGGTTTATATATATATATATAATTCTTCTAGGTTAAACATTGCGACTTATTCTATGAGGTGTATTTGAATTGTGTTTATTTATTTTTGAAAAATCTGTTTTGATGAAAAGGTTAAGATTTTCATACAGTCTTAAGAGATTAAAATTATTCAAAAGCTATATTTGAGATATTTGTTGTCATGAAAGGTTGATAAGTTATTAATATGATGAAATAATCCTCTGTCAGAAGGATGTCTTTGATGTCAAAACAAACAGCTATCCTGTTATCTGTTTTTCATATTTAACCCAATTTTTAAGCTTTTTTAAAATGATGATATATTGCAGGAAACTATAAATACTAAAATTTATAACAGTAAAGTTTAACTTGCCAACCTTTAAATGGAACAATCTTCCTACTGTGTTTAATAATTGTACAATCTGGTCAGTGTTCTATTTACAGTGAAATTTTCAAATTTAGCTTTTAGTGTATTCTGAAGGAACAAGTGAAGTCAATAATTCATATTGATTAATAATTGTAGAAAAGTGGTTTTCAGCTTAACAGCACACTTTTTGTTGAAGATAGAGCCAAATTCTCCTATGGTTGTGATTTAAAAGCCATATTGTAAGAGTGCTTTCCAAACATTTGTTATGAAATTCTCTTGTTCTTTAATTCAGCTGTTTCTGCAGATTTTGTTTAAAGTCCATAAAATTAATTAACATTATATGTTTTTTACAGACCATCCAATGGAGGAAAGTATTGTATAGGTCGTAGAACCAGATACAGATCATGCAATCTTAAGGTAGATTATCCCACAAATAATATATCTTCTTCCCTATTATATAACATATTTTGTATTTTATGAAATTTTTAATGTTACTCAGTGCTGAAAAGTCATTCAAATTTTCAAAAAAATGCATCTAACAAACCATCACTATCTAGTTAATTGGTATTATCAGTGAAAAAATATGTTATTTCTAAACTATTAAGATTTATGGCAATAAATAATAATTATTTCTGGAATTAACTGTTTAAATACTTCCGTATATGGATGGTTCTTTGTGAGTTAACAAATTGTTTGCGTCATTTTATTCCAGATTTATGGCAAAGTTTGTATTAATCAACAGAATAGCTTTTATAACTTCAATAAAAAAACATTTGAAACAGATGGGAACATGTATTAACTGTTTTAATGTTAATTTTGAATAATGATTTCATCATACAAATGATTATTTCCTAGGAATGTCCACCTGGTTCTCAAGATTTCCGTCAGATGCAGTGTGCAGCTTTTAATAATTCTGCCAAAATTCAGGGCTTGCCATCAACTGTTCATTGGATACCAAAATATTCTGGAAGTAGGTAGCTATTTTTTCATTTAAGAATTTATAAGTTATCCCTTTACTGCACCTACTTTATTAAAGTAAATAGTTATTGAAGACAGTTGATGTTAATCTAAAGAAAATGAAACATAAAAGAATACATTCAGAATAATTAATTTAATAATTGTGCCACTAAATTAACATGCCAAGTCATAAGCCATTTTGAAGCTGAATAAGCATGTATTATGTGTTTAAACAGTAAGATTGAAAGACTCTTGTAAACTGTACTGCCAAGCCTCACATACCAGTGCCTACTATCAACTGAAGGACAAAGTTATTGATGGAACCAAATGCAGACCTGATTCTTATGATATCTGTGTCAATGGAAAATGTATGGTTAGTGTTTATACAATTAAATATAATTCAATTACTTTTCTAAACAAACTGTCATGTGACTGCTTATGCTTATGTTTTTTTTGTGTCATAATTAATTCAGATGAAATTTTTATGCTGGTGATATATATCTAGACATACTACTTATCATGTTAAATTGTGACTTGGATGGGGAGTTGTCTCATTGGCACTCATACCACATCTTCTTATATCTATATACTACTTATCATGGTTTTCTACAGATATGCAGAACAAACAAAAAAATACTTTGAATTGATTACTATTCCTGGGATTCCAATTTTCATGTATTTCTAGGGTACAAGTGAACCATGAATTTAAATATGTTATACAACAAATATAATATGTCTATAGGCTTGTATGCAGACTTTGTGAAAACCATGACATGTAATAGCCATGAAAATATAATTTTTTCTTCATCCACAAAACTGAATGAATCCACAGAAGTCCAGTTAGCTTATTACATTTATCACAAGACCTTAGAACTGTAACAGACACTTGATATACATAAAGTATTAAAAAAAGAAGAATTACTATTATACTGAACAATTGAGTTAATGGTAGTGCTTGACCTGCAGACCTTTTGAAATGGATTGTCATCTGTTTATTTTAAAAGGGAGTTTTATATATGTAATATTGTATTGTAAATGTTGTCAATGTTGTAAATTTGGTTATTGACAGCACATTTCTTTGCTGTGAAAACCCATATTAACCTGTCAGAATGGTGTCAGACTGAATAACACATCATAATAAGATCTTAAGTATATATTCAAGCATCTAATAAAAAGTCTCCTTATTGTATATTATAAACAAGTATATCAAGTTTGACATGAGACAGTGTTGTGAAGGGCAGTTATCCGTCATGACTTGTTTGCCCATTTATGTCATTAAGTTCTTGAAATAAACCATGATGTATAACAAAGCAGCATGTTACAGCATTAATTTGTTTGTTTTTCTGTCTACAGAAAGCTGGCTGTGACAATCGACTTGGATCTGACATGAAAGTGGACAGATGTGGAATCTGTGGTGGGGACAATTCTACTTGTCATACAAAGAAAATTTCTAATACGTTTAATAATGTTGTTTACGGTTATAATATCGTTCACAAGTTTCCAGTAGGGGCAAGAGACATTAAAGTCAAACAGAAAGGTTATATGAATCTTAAAGAGGATGAAACCTATTTAGGTAATTTTATTTATAGCCTTGGGCACATTGTTACTTTTTATAGAAATTAAATGACCAAATTATCAGTTCATTGATAAAACTAAATGAACACTAATGACACATTGTAATAGAAGTTTTGGTTAAGGAGAAAAAAATCTTGTGTTTAAGAGCTGAATCTATAATCAATTGAAATATTGTGCTTTTTAAAATGAAATCAGGTCGGCCACTGGGAACATATTTGGAAGATTATGCTACATTATTTGATATTTCTTTGAGAATATATTAATTTCATGTATTCAAATTGCATGTTTTTAACTTAAGATATGGTGGAATTTTTTTTTTATAAAGAGCTTTTCTTGAAAGCCACTTCAGAAACCACGCTGTTCAATTCAAACAGTTTCTTTAATTTACCATATGATAATTATAAATAATAGGACCTCTCAGCAAGTGTCAAGATGAAGAGCAACAATAAAAGTGGTGTTCTTTTACAAAGTTCCATTTTTCCTAGTTTTTAATTGAATTGTCTCAAATACCTAACTAATATCCTTTATATGTTGGTATAAAAACACAACAGTAAATAAGTAAATAAAAATATATTAGTAGTATAATATTATACAGTATCAGCTCAAGATTGGTCCAAAAAAAATCAAGATTAAATTATAATTATAAATGAAGAAAGAAGACTGTAGAATGGTAAAATATGGCTTCTATCCTAGTAAAGAATGCCTCTTATCTTACCTTCTATCCTAGTAAAGAATGCCTCTTATCATACCTTCTATCCTAGTAAAGAATGCCTCTTATCGTACCTTCTATCCTAGTAAAGAATGCCTCTTATCTTACCTTCTATCCTAGTAAAGAATGCCTCTTATCGTACCTTCTATCCTAGTAAAGAATGCCTCTTATCTTACCTTGTATCCTAGTAAAGAATGCCTCTTACCTTACCTTCTATCCTAGTAAAGTATGACTGTTATTGTACCTTCTATTCTAGTAAAGAATGCCTCTTATCGTACCTTCTATCCTAGTAAAGAATGCCTCTTATCTTAACTTTTATCCTAGTAAAGAATGCCTCTTATCTTACCTTCTATCCTAGTAAAGAATGCCTCTAATCTTACCTTCTATCCTAGTAAAGAATGCCTCTTATCGTACCTTCTATCCTAGTAAAGAATGCCTCTTATCGTACCTTCTATCCTAGTAAAGAATGCCTCTTATCTTACCTTCTATCCTAGCAAAGAATGCCCTTTATCTTACAAACTATTAAAGAGGCTTTTGAAGCTCATTTTTAAAGTAATGAATTGCAAGAAAACATGTATAATTTTTAAAAGTAGACCTAAGTTTTAACCTGAAATTTTACAGCTTTGCAGAATTCAACTGGTGCTTTTATACTGAATGGGAAAAAAGTGATAGATAGTGCAGTGACCAAAATAAAGGCAGCAGGAACCATTATAGAGTATAGTGGATCTGATACTGTGATAGAGATGATCAATGCTTCTGGACCAATCAAAGATACTCTTACATTACTGGTAAAGTCTCAAGACTATTCAGATTGCAAATATTTGAAATAACTAAATAATTCATAACTTTAAAAATAGTTAGTTTTGTTTCAGTATCTTCAGATAAACTTGAAGAAATAAGAATTAGAAAGTTCTCAAATGTTGTACAATGTAGCAAGTTTTTTAGCCTCATTGGAAATAAAATTAGGGACCATTTTTAATATAAAATAAAGAAATATGGTATGATTGCCAATGAGACAACTATCTAAATGAAGGGAATTAGAAAACCATAGGTCACCATTCAGCCTTCAACAATGAGCCAAACATGGCCTTTTTTAATGACAAAACAATTAAAAAAAAAAAAATATGCAAAGATACAGATGACCTAAACAGAATTACATGTAGATTTAACTTAGGCCACTACTGACAGTATGTTTACTGTTAGAAAAAAATAAAGTTAGAAGCTTGAAAAAAAAATACAGATAAATTATTTCATCATATTTTCTCAACAAAATACTTTTGTAAAATCTGATTGCTCTATTATTAGGCTTATTGTATGTCTTGTAGGTTCTGTCAGTAGGAAAAGTCAATCCACCCAATGTAGACTACTCATATGCATTTTCTGTTGATACCAAATATGTATACAGATACCAAGAAATGTGGAGCCCTTGTAGTTATCTCTGTAATGGTAATTATACTTAATAAATTTTGATAAAATGTCATTTTTTTGCTGAAGTTGTCAAAAACAAATTTGCCTAACTGTGCTTAGCAGTTTTTTTTACCATTTTGGACATTTACATCCTCTTTCATCATACCCTGGATTTGCCCTTGATAATATGGCAATTTAAAAAAAAAATCTTCTCAAATCATTTCTTTTACTTTTTGGCATTTGATTTCCAGTATGACATTTTCACATTGTAATTAATTTGTATTTTACATTTTTAATAAGGTTCAGTGTCCTATTGGTGAAAATACAGAAAGAAAACTTGGTCCAAATTAATAAATTGATTTTTTTCTAAATTAGAATTGATTTTAAATGTTGATCTGATAGTAATTTTATTTAGAAAGTTAAAGGTGAGGTAATGACAATGATTTCGAACCTGATAATCCGCAGCAGCTAATCATTAATTTTCAATTGAAAAGGTCAACTTGTATCTTTATGTGGGCGTGGAAGACATTGTAAGACATCTTTTATTAGTTACAATGTTTGAAAAGATTACTGTTCCAAATTTAATGTCATCAAGATTGAAATAATGAAATACATGTATCATGAAAATCTTGATATATGAATAAATACAAAGCTACTATGCACTGCTTCCTAGCATGAACTTTATTTAGTTCAGGCCTAACAATTGTTTGAATGTATTCAAAACTTTGTACAGGTATTAACAATATACCTTTTATATTGAAATAGTCAATGCAATTTCTCCAGTAAGAAGTTTGCAGTATAAAAGTAGGTATGGTGGTAAATGACAGCAATCCATCAAGACAGACAATTGACAATGTTCATTTAGAATTTACAATGCTTTCTTCTACAATGAGCAACTTCATATTTAGAACTTTTATATAATTGCTTCAAATTGTTATTTTATATAGGAAAGCGAACACGTTCAGCAGTATGTGTGAGTGATGATGATAACAGAATGGTTGTCAAGACAGACAATTGACAATGTTCATTTAGAATTTACAATGCTTTCTTCTACAATGAGCAACTTCATATTTAGAACTTTTATATAATTGCTTCAAATTGTTATTTTATATAGGAAAGCGAACACGTTCAGCAGTATGTGTGAGTGATGATGATAACAGAATGGTTGTTTCTGACAGTAAATGTGACAGATTAAGAATACCTAAACCACCAGGTCAACAAAGAAGATGTAGTTATGATTGTTCATTAAGGTATAAAAAATTAAATAGTGCTAAAACATTTTATTTCTGTGAATAATATGCTTTTTCCTCTCTGCATCTCCAATCCTCAAATGCTCATAAACCATTGCATTGATTTCCATGAAACACCCACTGGAAGTTAAGCAAGTATCAATCAGTCAATCCACAAAACTCTCAATATTGAGTTGTACATTATGGCATTGTGTACTTAAAAATAAAATCAAAGTTTCAAAGCATTAACTTTGTTGTTTTTTAGATATAGATACTTAGTAGAGATGTGAATTTCAGTTCTAGTTTTAACTTGTAATTTGTATCTTATATATATAGGTGGAGAACAGAGCAAGAGGAATGTTCAGTCAGATGTGGTGAAGGTGTTGCAAAACAGAATGTTTATTGTGTGAAATCTACATACTATACACAAACACATGTAGACCTTACACATTGTGACCATCAAGGTCCACGCCCGGGAGACATGGTTACCTGTATGGGCAGATGTGATCCAACTCATTGGGAATACTCTGGTTGGTCAAAGGTAACATTAATTAACGACGTTAGATAGATAATTATGAGTTGATAAATTGGTTGCATGTTTTTTGTACAGCAGTCAACATTACAGCCAATATGATCTTACTGTGCACTGATATACCTCATAAACAAAGAAATCGTAAAATTATTTTAATAGTAATTTCTCATGTTTTCAAGTTTAACGCAGTACAAATTGATAGTGAGAACAATGTGTCTTGTATAGTTTAAAATTTTCAAAAACTCAACTTTCAATTCTATATTTATATATTTGATAGTGTACCCAGACTTGTGATGGAGGTATTCAGACACGGACAGCATGGTGTACCAATGTGAGTCGACGTAAACTACCAGATAAAGATTGTGAAGCTTCAGAAAAAATTCTTACAAAGATTTGTAATGATGAACCATGTGCAGTGTGGAGAACATTTTCCTGGTCAGGGGTAAGTATGGGATATGTGATTCATTTTATAGAAGTTTATTATTTAAGGCAATATTTTGTGTCATCAAATAGATTCTTTATTTACCTCATTTAAGAAACAACTCTTTAATGTCATGCTCTATGCTTATTCTAACATCAGTAGACATTATATTTGTCAAATTGCAAATTCCATTGTGACATCAAGTACATGTACACCATGTTTTTTTAAAATTAAAACAAAGCAAAGAAGAGGTTCATATTAGAATTTTATTTTTTAAAGAGAGGGGTGAATTATACTTAAATGAAACAGCAACCCTTAAAAACAATTTAACCAGGAAAGAAATGGAGATGACAACATTAAATGATTTTCAACTTCAGTATTGTTATCAGGTTCTCAAGATGCAAACATAAGATATGCATTTACAGTGTGGTTTCCCTTGATTTGATATTGTTTGGTTATTGTTGTAGTGTTCAGCAACTTGTGGGTCTGGAACAAGACATAGAGATGTCCATTGTTACCAGAGGGAGAAGAAGATTGAAGATGGATTTTGTAACCATAGACGCATGCCATCTACAAGTGAATCCTGTAACCTGAATGCCTGTCCAGTTTGGAAGACTGGACCGTGGAGACCAGTAAGTATATGCTCCATATCGCCTTTTATTCATATATGCAAAAATTTATGCTTTAGTTATGTAAGGGTTTCTTGATTCTATTGGTTTCCAAAAAAGTAGCATAAACAGTTAAACAGTAATGTGCAAGCTTCAATGGTACTGTTATACAGTCTAAACTTTATATTTGCAGATCTACACCGTTGTTTTGGATTTGAAATCTTGAATTTGAAATAAAAGTCTTGTATTTAATAACCTTGAAATAAGACACAACTAAATTTCAGAACCACACTTCCCTAACAGAAAAGATTTAACCCTTGAATAACTCCTTTTGCAACAGTGATTAGACCTTCGTTATCCATGTAGAAATGTATGTATAACCTTGGGTCTTAAAGTATTCTCATTTAACAATTTGTATAATGACTTACTCAGTTTGAAAACACCAAGATTCAATTTGTCAAAATGTTTTAAATAGGTACACAAAGCAATATTTTAACTTAACAGTACTTGAATATGAATGATATACTTTAGCTAAAAAGAGAACATTAAACTGTCAGAAGCAAAAATAGAATAAACTTTAATGACAAAATTAAATTATCCAGTGAAAATTTGCCTCCATAATGTGTGATGGTGTACTTATGATGATACATACAGGTGTTATATAACACATATAGTTATATAATCTTCTTACTCCTACACTTATTGCAGCTATAAACTTGATGTATGGGCAGTTTTGTCACGCTTTACTACTAAGCATCCTTTTTTTCTAAACTAATCTTGAATTCCTTATACATATTTTTTTAAAGGTTTTATAGAACTTTTAAAAAAATGATAAAAATAAAATGAAAGTACCTCTTATAACACATAATTATTGTCATCTATGAAAAGTATTTATATATATAAAATAGTGTTGAAGAAGCATCTTTTTTTTTACTTAATTACCCTGTTATCGACAAAATATTCCAAGTTAGCCAATTTTAGGGTTATACTTTTAATGTTTTATTATATCCAAAATACATGAGATCTTTGGTTTTGTGATCCACATTGGTGTTTGTTGGTTTCTTGAAACCATCAGTACCTTTTGAAATTTTACATTATGTTAACCATAAGGTAGAGGTTAAGGCAAGTTTTAGCAAATCTGACATTTCAGGTACGTAACAAGTTCATCTGATATGTTTCGTGGTAGTTAAGGGAATCTGTAATTCCAAGATCTTCTGAGTTTAGTTGTTTTTCCTTTTGAAATATTTGTCACCATTCTAAAATGCACTGCAGCAAATTTATATAAAAATATTTAAGAAATCTGTCATTGTTTCTACTTATGCTAATTATGATATGACTAACAACCAGTTACTCAGTGAACTATTAAAATAAAAAAAATGAGCAAACATTCAATTGTACTTGCTTTAAAATAGATGGCCTTTGTAATGATTGTTGACTAATATGATTGCCTTTACTGTGTACATCATGCAGTAATCTATCATCATAAGAAATAAACCCATGATTTATACAGTCCTTGTGCTTCTTTTAATCAGTCAGATTTCTTTGTTTTTGATGCTTTGTACTATATTTCAAACAGACAACCCAAATGACCTTTTTTGACATATAGTTGTGCAATAATAGCAGTGTTTTATGGCAAAATAATAGCTTAAAAGTGACAATAAAATTAGTTTAAAGTGTTAGGTATAAAGCCTTTCTTAACAGATTCCTACTCCACCTAGTGGATCAAAGACTTGAAAGGTGAATACTATTCTTTATAACACTCAAGTGATACATTTATTGACTAGACATTTTTAATTAATTATCTATGAAACAAAGAAACTGTTTTGTACTGAAAATCTTAAAACAAATGAAAATTGGTAAAGAATAAAGGACAAGTTTATTTCTGTTTCTGGTTGTTATAATGTTTTTTTTGTCAAATAAGTACAACATTGGTCACCATGACATGTTTGAAATCTAAAAAGTGTATAAGTAGATGCACAATAATGGTCTGTCCATGTTTGTATACTATGTTGACTCTAAATAAAACTTATTTATTATTATTATTATTATTACCATGTTTGAAATAGGATTGAAGTGTATAAGTACAGACTTTTTATAGTTGTATCATGTGATAAATTATTTTTACCATAGATGTATAACTCATTTTATTTATCTATAGTTTTTAACTTAATGCTGTTTGAAGACAGGAGTGGTTTCGATTTTTTTGTGTCGTTGGGTTGCTGTTTCATTGGTATTTACCCCACAACTTAATTATTCATACAAATGGATTAAACACACAAAATTAGATCCAGTTTACTGTAGTGAACTATGTAATATACATTTTGACTTAGGGCCAAATGTACTGATCAATAAATTACAACCACAATAAAGAAGAAACACTATTTGTATTACTCCCTGCAAAAAACAAAAACAAAAAATGTTCAAAGATGTTTAGTACTATGAATCTTTTAATTAATTCATTAAATAAGGGGGTGAGAATGAATGGCTGCTTAAAGGAGATTAAAAGATATTTCAACAAAAAATGGAATCATTGATTCCTGTAAGGTTAATCATCTATAAATCTTTTGAAAAGTGGAAAACATAATTTCCTTTGGTCTTAGTTTGGTATTGAAATTTCAGTAATAAATTTATTTTACATTTTATATTGTCCACTTTTATTTGAGAACTAAACAGTGGCTTTCCTGTATTCAGTATAATAAAGAAGTACAAAGAATTTATTACTAGTAATAAAAGTATGTTCATTATTACATTAATTACTTTTCACTGCATATTTGTGGACATAAAAAATGAGGTCAGACTTTTCAGATTCTACGTGACAATTTTCAGTGAATAAGTACATATTTATTTGACCCCTTGTTTGGGTAATTTTTATGTCCATTTTATGTAAAGTGAGTGTAAAATGATCTAATAAATAACATACTTTTTAACAATTTCATTTGGAAGAAGATCATTAAAGTTAGTGTTTGATGATTTTTTATCATCCATATTATTTCCTTTTTTTGTTGATTGTATGCTTATCTTTGACCATTCAGTCAGTTATTTTGTCATCAATTTTAAAATGGAGCACATTGCAATATAAAAAACTCATTAATTATTGTACATGAATAATTCACTAAATATTTATTCTTATTTTTTATTACAATGTTGACATTTCAGACAAAGGGGCAAAAATTCCTTATCACATTAGTTTGTAGATTAATTTGATATTGTACTAACCTTTATAACCTAAATATACACATTTTGAGGTCAAATGACCAGAGCTAAATCTATTTGATTATTTCCTTGAAGTATATCATCAGAACTTCATTAGATTTGATTACTGTAAATTCAGAAATTATTGTGATTTTTGAAGAATGGAATAAATTGTGATCTTTATTATTGCGATTTCAGGAAAATCTGTATACAGATATATGTATCAGTTTTCAGAATGCGAGTTCTTATTATTGAGATTCTCAACCAGTCCCATTATTCGCATTAATAAAAACCTCGCATTAATTTCTGAATTTACAGTATAAGGTATTTATAAGGTATTTTTACCCTTTTAAAAAAAATTAATATTGAATGCATTGGCATTAGTTTCTTTCTAAAAAGAATCTGAGCATGGCAAGTCAAATGCCTCAAAGAAACTGAGTAAATGCCATTATGAAAAACATATCATTGAATCCTTAAGCTTTCAGCCTCTGTTTGACTGGTTTATTTTTTTTTTTTCAGTGTTCAGTTACATGTGGATTAGGGATTGCAAAACAAGATATATATTGCCGATCTGTCAGAGATGAAATCCTGAAGGACGATATTTGTGATCCCTCCAGTAAACCATATGGTGTAAAGGCATGTGACACAGGGGCATGTCCAACTACCACTTCCACAACAACAACTACCACAACCTTACCGACTACTACAACAACCAGGACCACTACGACAACAACAACACCAACTACTACCATGACAACAAGTACTACATCAACCCCAGCTCCTATGTTAGTAGCCTCAGTATCAGTCGAATGGAAACATACTGATTGGTCAGAAGTAAGTTTATGCAAATAAGGATCATTTTGTACCTAGTGCAAATATGGTTGAAACTGACTGCTTTAATATTTGGTTCAGCAGAGTTATTGAATGCCATAAAGTGGATTTTTTTTCATTATACAATGTCAAGTAAAGAAATAGAGCTATTGCTAACAACAGATAATCCTATCTCTTCTCAGATTTTAGTAAATCTTGTTTCTAAAAACTAAATTCAGAAATTATTGGGAGATTTTTATTAATTCGAATATGCAACTAGGTGAGTATAGCAATAATAAGAGCTCCCATTCTGATATTTGATATATCTGTAAGCAGATTTACCTGAAACAACAATAATTAATCTCCTATTTTTGTCAAATCTTCAAAAATAGCAATAATAAAGGGACGCAATAATTTCTGAATTCACAGTACATAGTACATGACATCTCTCTTTCTTAAATCCTGAAAAATTGTTACTCATTTCTTTATAATACAGCTGCTTAGAACTGGACTTCTACATATGTGAATAATAATATGATGTTTGTGGATATTACCCACACAAGTTTTTCTGTTCTCTAACTAAAACATCAATACCCTATGACATAGTTGCTTTGATCTGATTTTTTATGCGAAACTCAACTAGTATGAAATAAAAGGGATGAGGCTTACACACCAATTAGACAGCAACCCAAATACATCTGGAGGAAAAAACAGTCTTCAGCAATAAACAGGTGTCTATACAATATGTTATGCCATTAATCGTACTACATCTATCAAAGTGTCATTCACAGATAGAATAAAGGTCATAGTGATCCATTTTTTCCTGTATATTTGTTTCTTTTCAAGTTGTCCACAGTGATAAAATATCTTATTTCTAAGACTTGTATAGAAAATCTTCTTTCAAGATCGAGGTGACCCAATTTTTGAAATGGACTTTGTTACATAATGATAATTGAAAAGCTTCCAATCTTTGTTAAATTGTCTTGAAGTTGATGATTTCTGAGGAAATAACACTTATTTTCATTACTTTTTAAGATTTTGTGGTATAATTATTGTGAGCTAAAATCTTTTTGAAATTTCTTTTAAAATCTCAAGTTATGTAATATTGTTTGATAAAAATGAAGAATTATCTCTTTTACCATTAACATTTCTTCTAATTTTTAGCATTTTTTACTTTTCAAAATTTGTTCTTGCAATTAGATATATGCAATATCTCCTATTGAGAAAATGATCTTGAATGTCATGATATATCTAGAGTGACAGATTGACAAATTATAATGTACTTCATAAACAGTATACTGATTGTGACCCAACAATAGACTGAATCACATAAAGAATAATTAACTTTCTTTGAAAAACAATTAAACATAATCATGGTCCATTTTTATTTCAAAAAGAAATACAATGTGAAAAAACTTTACTAGATGACATTAGTCCTTATAAGTCCACTGTTTTTATTGTGCTTTAAGCTTTGCATAAAAGAAATCCTGATTATACAGTAAATAAATGCTGTAAAGTAACATTCTTTACATATGTTTTGAATTTAGGCATTAAGGAATAACCCTTCATAAATTTATCATTTTGTTATGAAAGTGAAATTACAAAAGCTCATGTAATGCTTTCCAACCACCTTGATGTAAAGAGACTATTAATTTCTTATGTCAAGGACATTGTGGTTAAGTAAGATTACTGTACTGAATTAACACATATATTTTAAAGTGCATCATACGTGTGGCAGACTGAAGTTTTCTGATAATAAACAGCAGTCTTTTTTCAATAGTATCTGCCAAAATTGAAGAATTTACAAATTTACAGAATTGGCAGAGAAAAAGTTGAATTTTTTTATCATTGTATATCTTGGCAAATTCAATGCATATCTGTCAAACTGACGATTCTATTGTTCCAAAATAACTGTGTCACTTACGTCACTTTGCTGCAATAGAAGAAAGATATTCAGTTATGACGACAGTGGTTGTTTTATTTGTAGATAATGGGTAAAGTTTGTTATGTCTAGGTTTAGTGTAACATTAACCAGTAACATAGCTGTTGTGTAGAGACTTTCTCAGAGGAACAAGTTACATTTCACAGATATTTCTTGTTTGTTTCGCTTAAGTTGAAGACTGTTATATAAAAACAGTTATTGTAATGCAACCTTTCTACAAAAATCTATTGATTAAAAAAAGTGTTTATTGATGTTTAATCTAATCAAATAGGAAACTGAAATTGAGGAAGTGAAAAATCATCTCATTGTAGATGTCACTTGCCCAAGAATGAACTTTTACTGTGACCTATAGTTGTTAAATTCTATGTCATTTGGTCTCTGGTGGTGAGTTGTCTCATTGGCAATCATACCAGTATTCTTATTTTTATATTTTGTTTTCAAAGGTCAAGGGTCATGAGCAAAAATTCAGTGATAGGAAACCTACTTCCATATGTCAGCTTTCTAATAAGATCATGACTTACCAAGATATTTAACTGCAACTGAAATCATTTGATTGCTGCAAATTTTTGTCAAGTCTAGTTTCTGATGTCATAATAATTTTTTCCATCATACATGTATTTCCAATATTTATCAAAAATTAAATGATTCTCATTTAGTGTTCATCTACATGTGGCAAAGGTACTAGAAGTAGACTGGTTTACTGTGAGAACAGCCAGGGCCAGTCAAGGTTGAAGTCTTCCTGTAGCCACTTGATAGAGCCACCTACTACAGAGATATGTATAGACAAACCATGTGGTGTATGGAGATCTGGAGATTGGGGCGAGGTAGGCTATCTATAAACTAAATTAATGCTTTCATACGGGATAATCTAATAGATATTTAACATTTGATGAAAGGTTGGTTGTTTTTTTTTTTGCATTCAAATTGGAGAAAAAGTGAAGTAGAGTCTGGTTCATTGTGTTTAAAACAATAATGTATCAAATACCATAATTAAACCTTTGTTACTCTTTATATTGAGTTGAATCAAATGATTCATTGCAGAGTTTCTTTCTCGTGTATTAGCCATATTAGTTTTGGTGTACTGGTATGTATATTTTCTCAAATCTGTCTTAAGATGCTTTTGTGAATTGATTATGTAAAAAATTACTTTCTTATTGATCTTATAATCTTGTTACGTGATTAGACATAGTTGTCTGTTCAAGGTATTACAATGAAGAAACATTTTAAGGATTTGTTTTCCTAGCCATGGCTGTTAGTGCAGACAGTATGCATTTTTTAGATACCAGGTTACAAAAATCTGCAAAACCTGCAGTGAAACGTCACCACACAGTAACATAGGGCATTGATTTCTGTTTAACTCAGCAGCCAAATAATAAAGTCTTTAAACAGTGTGCATACTGAGATTAAATAAAAAAGAAACAACCTTGTTGAATAGTTCTAATCATCTCATTGGCCTTATCTGACTTCTATTGTGTCAACAGGACTCAAGATAAAAACTGTGAATAATGATAGAGATAATTGGTGAAGATGCTCTGTATAGTGGGAGGTTTTCTGGTGCAAAAGATTATAATCTCAGCATCAAACAGTCTATATTGTCTGTCTGAGAAACAGATTGGTTCAAAATGGGAGATGCTTTATGTTTTGATTTATAAATTAAGATGTGGTTTTTTACAGTAAAATCTAAAGTATCTTTAATTTGATAAAATGTAGAATTAAGAAAATTTCAAAGTTGACCAGCAACAAAAACAGGTTTTATCGGTAATTATTAGTGGTAAATAATATCATCTTTAAAAATCATGGTTAATAGTTAAGATTTTAGAGACAAGGTCGAAATAAAATTATTCTTACCTCACTAGTTTTGATGGATTGATGAAGAGGATATGAGATGTTTAGATTCCTTGTCTATCCCTTGCATGAAATATTTTCCATGTCTTTTCCTCCCTTAAGACATATTTCTTGTGTATTCCTCCCATGGGATAGAAAAGAGACATAACCATAGATTTAGGATATCAGAGATAAAAAAGAACCGCTCTATATAAGTTTTATACTCATCCTGAAATAATATGTTTTCCATTGTGCACCCATCTGTCTGTTATTCCATCCATTGGTCTGTTGTTCCTGTATCAGGTTAAAGATTTGGTTTAAGGTAGTTTCCTGGTACCATGAATTTGTGGTCACTTCCATTTAAAACTACCAGGGTACATATGTTTATTATGACGTGAACTTTTAGAAATGTATGCCTAATAAGGTTTTCGGCCAAAATTTCATATCTGACTGAAAAGGGAATTGTGATAGTGCAAGCAGGGCAAGGTAGCCTATAGGCACATATTCTTGTTGGTACTGTTGCTGTCAAAGACATCATGAAATATGGGTCAGCAATTTAAGTTTTTAACACGGAAAAGCCAATCTTAATTCTTATATGACCTGAAAAGTACAGTAAAATGCAGCTGTTGGTAGACATGGTCTGACCTAGATATAGGATGATTTATTTTAATTTTTCAGTAGAAATAAAATGCTATCTTTATGAAGCAGCATGTATAAAGGGGTGTGGTGATTATGATAGTCTTTACAGATCATCCTAATCTAAAAGATTTACCTTTTACATAGGAATAAAAAAAATCATCAAAATCATTGATTATATAGTTTTTAACCTCTGTTAAAATTTGTATAACACAAATCTTTTTGAATCTGTCTTAGCTAAGAATGTAATTACAACTGAAATCAAACTAGTGTCAGGTTGAATAAAGATCAATAAAGGTCAATAAAGGTCAAGTCACCTGCATTACAATGTTTTTTAACATATGCTGAAATATTGATAAATGAAGAAAAGAATGATATACAATAATGAGACAGCAACCAAACAACAAGATGAAACAAAAACAAATCTTGACTACATTATGACACTGTTTCCTCTGGTATGAATTGCATATAAGTTCATTAGTTATTATTTACATCAATAAATTATGGATTTGAAAATGATGTATTTGTTTCTCTTTTATTTTTATATTCCTAACTTTGTGAATGACTATGAAATAACACACACATGTTTACACATTAAGAACTTTACTATGTTAAACAAACTGTGCTCTATCACTTTCTTTTATTTTGTAATTATTATAAATTTTAAAGTCTAATTAACACCTTCTGTTGAATACTATAATGTAATATTATCCAAAAATTGTTTGGGATTATTAAAAGTGTTACTAAAAAGAAACATTACAAATTTTGTAATGTTAGGTTTTCTATTGTAAATTTTAACATAAACTGATGTCCATAGTTTTTAGTTTTTTTAGATCATCCCTTACATTAAGAAACTGACACATGCTGGTTTTTCAAGTAGTGCAGAGTCAATATTGGATAAACAGAAAACTTTAAGGATGCTTCAAGCTCTGTCCATATCTTTATAAAATGGGACCCATTATTCAAAACTCTTCATACAATAAAGCTTATTTTGGTTTAAATAAGGTCCTGGTATAATAAATTCTTGTTAAGTACTTTTGTTAAGTGATGAGAAAATGCATTAAAAGAACAATTTGATTTATCATGATCCATTGTTAAGATTGTTACGGGTAAACTAATCTTACATATAAACCAGCTGCACAGAAATTACATGTATCTATATTACATGCTATTTGAAACAAATGTTGTTGACACAGAGCATTGCACTTAAAAAAAACTTATTTGAAAGGTATTGTAAGATTGGTATCAGTTATTTTATTTATCAACACCTGTATATTGATTGTTGAGGATATTAATAAGTAAAATGAATGAAACATAAGACACCTTACGTGACATTCAGGGATGTATATTTACCACTTACATATACAGGTACACCTTTTTTTGTACAATGAATTAGAATGAATTAATTTATGTTGTGATGGCTTCTGAAAAATTTGTTTGTGGGAATTTGCCCGATGTTATTGTTTTGATGAATCTCTGATTTCTGGATCATTTTAACAACTACAACTTGCTTGAAAAAAATGAAACATAAAACATCCTATGTGCTTTGGCTTGAAACAAATATTTGTGGGAATTTGCCCTATGTTATTTTTTTTGATGAATTTCTGATTTCTAAATCATTTTTGTCGAGCCTTCGACTTTTGTCTAAAAAGCGAGACATAGCGATCCTACATTCCGTCGGCGGCGGCGGCAGCGTCCACAAATATTCACTCTGTGGTTAAAGTTTTTGAAATTTTAATAACTTTCTTAAACTATCCTGGATTTCTACCAAACTTGGACAGAAGCTAGTTTATGATCATAAAATAGTATCCAGAAGTAAATTTTGTAAAAAAAAATTCCTGTTTTTCCGTATTTTACTTATAAATGGACTTAGTTTTTCTGCCAGGAAACATTACATTCACTCTGTGGTTAAAGTTTTTAAAATTTTAATAACTTTCTTAAACTATCCTGGATTTGTACCAAACATGGACAGAAGTTTGTTTATGATCAAAAGCTAGTATCTAGAAGGAAATTTTTATTAAAATTTTGTACTTGTTTATCCATATTTTACTTATAAATGGACTTAGTTTTTCTTCCACTTAACATTACATACAGTCTGCAGTTAAATTTTTTAAAACATTTATTAGATTCATAAACTATCCTGGATTTTTACCAAACTTGGACAGAAGCTTCTTACAATAAAAAAATTGTATCGAGAGGAATATTTTTATTAAATTTTTTCCTCATCTCATTTTTGTTGAGCCTGCGATTAACAGCAAAAGTAGGCGAGACACTGGGTTCCGCGTAACCCTTACAAATTTTAACATCTTCAACTTGCTTGAACAAAAATTGGCTGTTCTGTGTTTTTATGGTTTTAATGACTGATGTTTTGGTGCACTCTTTTGGTGTCTGAATTTTGATTTTGAATAAAAAGTTGTAAAATTGATACTATGAATATCTTTAACAGCCATCATATAACATATTTTAGTGTACACAAACTTGTGGAGAAGGTGAAGAAGTGCGTTTGGTTGCCTGCTTTCTTCCTGGACGTCAGCTTGGTCAAGACAATGACTGTGAACCAGAAACAAAACCTGACTCTGTACGGAAGTGCCATCGAGCCGACTGTCCTGGTACCAGATACATCAGTGGAGGTGGAGCTCATTGGAGAACAGGCCCATGGTCAGGGGTAAGTGAAGTTCTGTAAATGATTATCTACTTGTAGGACAGATCTGTAGTCTGTTGTAACACATATAGGATGCATCATTAATGTTATTAAATTCATGCTGGATCACAAATCAAAAGCAGCTTTATAATATATATCTACAAATTATCAATCCATGTGCAATTTTAATCAGGAAAATTGAAAATGAATTGATAACTACATAGTACCCTGAGTAAAAAGATGTGTTATTTTTCAGTTTACAGTGGTAATAAAACTTGATGATGGATGTTACTTCAGATTGAATTTAATTAAGATACAGAGAGAAAATGTTTTTTTTTTTAAATTTAATTGATAAACCGAGTTTATGTAGCTGTAAATGTGATTAGATTCATGAAAGCTTTCACTTTTATATGTAGGATAATTGATGGTATAAAGTGTCTTATCATTGTCTGTTAGTGTCAGAATAGCTAATTTAGGCACTTTATACTGGTAACTTTCTAAGTACCTGACTGATTCATTTTGCAACTTGTATTAACATTATCTGATTTATAATAACAGTGCTCAGCGTCCTGTGAGAGTGGGATGCAGAGACGACAGGTTGTTTGCCAGGACGAGTTTGGCCTCAGTGACCGCTGTGATCAGACAACCAGACCAACTGAATTACAAGCTTGCAACACTGGAGCATGTCCTGCATGGAATACTGGAGTTTGGTCTGAGGTAATGGCCGAAAATATCAAAATTCCTTATGGGCTTTTAAAGTTCTATCTGAGAGTATTGCATTGGTTCCTTGATATATTAAAACAGTTGAAGTGAGATATCAATACAATATGCATCAGTCAAAAATGAGCAAATAGTAGTCATGGCTTCTTACTTTTGCCCAATTTTTGTTTATTAATTATACTTTACATGAGGAATTGTTAGCCATATAAAACATTTACATATTTTTGGAATCAACCACCTCCAGTTTATTTGTGCATGGCACTGGTACTTACAGTAGTTTTTAATGATAAATCAATTTGAGGATTTAAATTACTTTATCTTCTGAAAACTTGATAATTAGGCATATGACAGGGTGCCATAGGTTTGCAGAGACAACCATCTTCAGACTTCTGAAAACTTGATAATTAGCCATATGACAGGGTGCCATAGGTTTGTAGAGACAACCATCTTCAGACTTCTGAAAACTTGATAATTAGGCATATGACAGGGTGACATAGGTTTGCAGAGACAAACATCTTCAGACTTCTGAAAACTTGATAATTAGGAATATGACAGGGTGACATAGGTTTGCAGAGACAACCATCTTCAGACTTCTGAAAACTTGATAATTAGGCATATGACAGGGTGACATAGGTTTGTAGAGACAACCATCTTCAGACTTCTGAAAAAAAAAAGTGAAAAAAAAAGCTTTTGACAAAGGGAAATAATTCTGTATATGTTGCAGTTGCCAATTAAAATTATGACATTTTACTAAGACTGGACCACCTGTTGAAAAAGTAGTACTCAAACTTATATTGAACCTAGTTCAGCTTTGCGTGAAATGAAATATAAATTTTACAGATTGAAAGTACATTAAACTTTCACCAAGGATACATTTTGTACTTTGAAGATTACATGATAAAGCTAAAAAAAATTCAAGGCTACCATTGTTAATTTTTGTTTATTAATGATCTGTTAAATATTTATAGATTGTCATTATTTTCCAATTAATGCCTGAGTTAAGAATCAGTTCTTACATAATACAGTTGAATATAATGGATAAGGTGAAGTTGTTCCATCAGTCAAAATACTATAATTGTACAGATTTCAAACTAAATCATTGTTCATTCTATATATACATTAAACATAAATCTGAAAATAAATATTTTGTCAATCCTTTTTTTTTTCAAACAATCAAAAAAACTTTAAAGTACATTATTCTGTTAATATTTTACAGTGTTCCGTATCATGTGGACAGGATGGCATTCAGACTCGTCGTGTTTTGTGTCAGCTCCCCAATGGTCATGTTCTGTCAGATGGTCAATGCAACATGACAGTCAGACCTACATACAAGCAGCTATGCAACAAAGGTCCATGTAGCACCAAACGTAGATGGCGCATCAGTCAGTGGTCATCGGTAAGATATAGAGATTGGTATTATCGTTACTATCAATATTTACAGCATAGTTACCACAGAAGGAGGAGACAAAGATGGAGATATAAGTAGTATTTGTTTTTCTACCTCTTTGTATCCACTGAACAGTGTTAAAATTTATGTACTTTACAAATCAATTCTCACAGCTTTTTAATGTGCAAAATTAAATAGTCTGTCAGTCAATTTTTTCAGGATCACAATTTTTATACGACAGCAAAAAATTTTGCGGTCGTATATTGGTATCACGTTGTTGTCATCGTCGTTGTCCGAAGACATTTGGTTTCCGGACAATAACTTTAGTAAATGTAAATAGAAATCTATGAAATTTAAACACTAGGTTTATAACCACAAAAGGAAGGTTGGGATTGATTTTGGGGGTTATAGTCCTAACAGTTTAGGGGGATGGGGACAATTTTTTCTCCTCAAGATTTCAGAAATCAAAAAGAAAATTTCTTCAAAAAAGGGGGGGGGGGGGGTTGGATTAAAAAAAAAAATTTTGAAAAAGAAAGGGAGGGGTTAAAAAAAAATTATTTTTTTTTGGGGGGGGGGAGGTCAATTCGCAACAGCATAGTGTATTGCACAAAAGTAAAAAATTGAATATAAATTCAAATCATATAACCAATTCTTAGTTCTTTGACTACAGTTATTCTGTATCAAATATTTAATTACAATCCAAATTCAGACCTGTATCAAGCGCGAATATTGTGTCCATTTTTGTCCCAACTGTTCAGGGTTGGACCTCTGCGGTCGTAGCCTGCTGCGCTCGGCGAAGCAATTTATTGTAATTGTATAATTGTTGTTCTAGTTCTGATTGATTACTGTGGATTCATTCTTATTTTGTGGATCAAACTTTTGTGGATTTCGTAGGTATCAGCAAACCATAAATTTAAATGTTCAACGAATGTCACATTTTTATATAAGGTTGTGTGCAGACTTTAGCAAAACCATAGTATTAGATATCCAAGATGATGCAAGTTTTCCTAAATCCAAGAAAAATGGGCACCAACGAAAATAAATGAATCCACAGTAATCTTCATTGAAAAGAAATATTCTAATCTTTGGATTTAGTTTGAAAAGCCTGTTTGCTTTCTGAAAGTTATATTTGCTCTTATTTTGTCTTAGATATAAGGAATTTTTGAAACTGATGACTTCTTAATTGAAACATAGTCTGTTGATTTAACTGTCAATATATCCAAGGTCATCCTCAATGTCAAATGATACCTTTTGTCTTGGAGAAGTCCATATTGTCATTGCTGCAATGATTATGTTTTTTCTCAGGTCATGCTATTGGATAGATCATGACTGAAATTGTATTTTATACAACATTTGAACAAAAGTTCCATAAACTTATGGAATGCTCAAATCAGGGTACAATATTCTATATATATTTGTCAATACTTTTGATAATGTGATGTGAATATTTGAGTAATTTATTGGCATGCATGAGTATGAAATGTTTTCACTGTCAAAATATATAAGGTATGTCTAATGAAACTACATTATATTATAATCAATTCTTTTTTGTGAGTTTTTTTCTCCAAACACTGCATCTATTATTTTCTTCCTATTGTGCTCTATGTACTTTTACAAATACTAGTTGTAAACAAATGCAAAGGTATGACATATGGTTGTTCTGAAGAGATAATAATCGTTTAATATGGAATAAATATATCTGTGATACACTAATTGATCCAAAAAAACCATACATTAACAGTGACAGGATGTTTTACCAGCTTCAGTTTGTCATTGTAGCTTTCTAAGCTTGTCAATATGACGTAGATTTCAGTTTGTATATATACATGTGACGTTGGAGTCGTGAAGATAGTGTACAATACTACATTTGGCAAAGTTACAACAGGTGTGTTATAGTAACCTTCATATGTCTTGATTCCAGCTGGAGCCTTCCCCAGTGTTACATGTACTTGGCGCTGTATTACTGGCTTCATATAGATGCAATATTGTGTATAACTTGTTTTTTATAAACAAACAAGACAAGTTAATTGCTTTCCACCCTTTGTTTTAAGTCTTCTTTGTTGTCTACCCAGTTAATTGCCAACTTTTCAAAAGATTTTGTTTCTTCGGTCATTTTTTGTTGCTGATGCCACATAAGTTCAAAGTTAACTGATCCGAAAGTCTCATTTTTTTGGGAAAAGCATTAACAGCTTGATAATGCTACACCTCCGTCAACTTGGATTGGTCAAAAGCATTAATGCTTATAAATGCTAGATGCCCCTCCACCTCAAGTAAGAAGCATTAGTAACTTGAGAATGCTACATACCTGTATACTGTAAGGAATCAAAAGCATTAACAGCTTGATCATGCTACATACCCATAAATCTGAAGGATCATATGCATTAACAACTTGATAATGCTACATGTACCTCTTCTACCTTGAGTGGTCAAAGGCATTAACAGCTTGATAATGCTACATGTACCTCTTTTACCTTGAGGGGTCAAAGGCATTAACAGCTTGATAATGCTACATGTACCTCTTCTACCTTGAGGGGTCAAAGGCATTAACAGCTTGATAATGCTACATGTACCTCTTCTACCTTGAGGGGTCAAAGGCATTAACAGCTTGATCATGCTACATGCCCATAAACCTGAAGGATCATATGCATTAACAACTTGATCATGCTACATGTACCTCTTCTACCTTGAGGGGTCAAAGGCATTAACAGCTTGATATTGTTGAGGGATCAAAAGCACAAATCACTTCATTGTGCTACATGTCCCTCTACTACCTTGATAGATCAAAGACATAAACAGTTTGATATTACTAAGGGGTCACAGCATTAACAGTTTAATATTGCTAAGGGGTCAAAGCATTAACAGCTTGATAATACTACATTATCCTCTACCTTAAGGGGTAAAAAGCATGGAATTATTTAAACAATAATGGTATTGATATAAAATTTTCATATTTGATTTTTATTCTCAAGGAGAACAAAGGCTTCAAAATAATCATGAAAAGTGTTCTCTAAAAAAGGGATTTTTCTTTATTGCGGATTTTTCTATATTGCATTCATTCAGCAATAGATACTTGACATTCTGCAATAAAAAATTGCAATTTTTACTTAATTATTCTTCATTGCTTTTATGATATATATTTTTTATTTTATGTTTTTTTATCATATTAATCATTATGCTTAACAGTATCAATAGATATACAATTATGTAAGTGTTAACTATTTGAAAAAAATAATAAAAACCTCCTGTTCAAAGCCATGTTACCTCCATAAAAATGATCTGTATTAAATAATGATAATGGGCTTCATTCTGTTTTGCTTCATAACCCGACACATGACGTCATTCCAGGAATAAGGTTAATTTGACTCACACTTTTTATATTGTTTATCAACATATCCTATCAATTGCTTATTTCAATTAATAAAAAAAACAGCCATTTGACCTTCAAGGTCTTTAGTGTGATCTTCATCAAAGACAATAAAACATAGGTTGTCTATGAAGGAAATGTGAAACACATTCTAAAACCTTGACCTTGCTTGTATTTGAAATTCTCAAAGATAAAACAAATTAATGGACCTTGGCTACTTATTACTGAAATTCCTGCTATGTAAAAAAAACTGTCTGCAAACACTTGCACTTCTCTTTGAAGTAACTCTAAAATTCTGTGTTAATAACAATGATGTCTTATAGAAAATTGTGTTTATACCCAATATCAGAATCAGATTAATTTTTACAACTTTGAATGAATTTGTTATAGGAAGCATTGATGCAATGGTTATTAAATATTATTACATTTAGAGATTCAGATGGGAAGACAGGTGTTCTCAGTACTATGGTACTCATGTAATGGTATTTCATGTGTAAACAGTCGATGTAAATAATAGTGCTTCATAAATATGTCCTATATTCTGTATCAGTCAAATTGTTTGATTAGTTACCTCTCAAAATGCTTGTTTTTGCTGAAAATATGACACAATCTTGAATAGAATTTTCTTTTTTTGAAATGGTTCAAGTGTTATCAGTTTTTGTGCATCTTAATAAATATTATGATAATTTAGTAGGTTCCAATTTGATACAACTTAAATGGCCGGTTATGGCTATTATTGCCATCTAAACTTTTGAATGGTACCCTGGTATTTTTCACTTACAAAAAAGACAGATGTATTATATAAAACTGCTGGAAGATTTTTGAATAATATGTTGCAGGGTTATGTGACTTAAATTGTAAAAACTATGCAGTTTTCCATATTCCCCATGATAACTCAAGTATGCTTTCAAGAATCTTTATGAAATTTTTAAACAATGTAAGGGTTTATAAATTTTATAAAAACATTTTGAGGGACATAGAAATACTGGGCATCCGTCCGTCCGGTCTTGTAAGTGCTCTCACATGTACAATTCTTGCCAGATTTTTATAAAACTTATATTGTAGGTTTTTATCAGCAATGTCTGGGACAAGTTCGAAAATCAGTGCCAATCAACTATTTTTAAAAGAATTATGCCCCTTGAAAACATTAATTATATGGAAAATTGCATCGTTTGTGCTCTCATGAGTACAATTCTTGCCAGATTTTTTATCAAATTCATATCAAAGGTATAAAACAGCAATGTCTCTGACAATTTCAAAAACAAGTGCCAGTCAAATATGTTTTAATGAGTTTCCCTTGGAAATATAAAATATATATCAGAAATTGCTCTCAAGTCTTCAACTCTCTAGTAAGATAATTTTAAAAAGTTTTAAAGAACATAAAAATCTTTTTTTTAGTTATTGCCCTTGGACAGAGCAGATGAAATATGTGCAATGCGGGGAACATTGGAACTCTGTTCTTTTATTTCTTGTAGAATTGTTATGAAATCAAAAGTTTATATCAGCAATGTCTTGGACAAGTTTGAAAATCATTGCTGATCATTTATTCTTACATGTCCCTTGGTAATAGAAATTATCTGATCTCATGCCTCCATTTCTTATAGGATATTAATGAAAAAGTTGAAAAGTACCCCCAAAATATTTT